GATCGAACCACAGGAGCACGAGCTCAACTCGCGCAGTTTACGCGCCGGTCACGCCTGCCGGTCATGCAACAACGGCATTGTTTTATTATGCAACAATGATCACCATATTACATTATATTTCCCAGCTTTTACGCAAACACGATCCGGCACCAACTGTTCCTATGCGCGCCATTCCAGGTAACCGCCAAAGCCCCAAACTACCGCCGAAGGCGACTACCAAGCGTCCAGGCATTATCCGCGTTCGCTCTGCACAAGCGCGGCTCGGCCGTGCTTGCTTCGTAGTTTTGGTAATTTGTCTCAGCGAAACTCCTTTGAATCAGGCTAGTCGCATCAAAAAATACAATGCACATGTAAAAAAAAAACAAAAAAAACATATATGATATATTTTCAATAATAATATAAATACTACATGTTAGAAAAAAAAAAAGAAAAATAAAGGAACGTCCGCCTGGGGCGCTACCTCGCCGTCCGTGCATGTTGTGAGGTGGAGCATCGGCCCTGGACACCTCTTGGAATGAAGCCGAGAGACATAGTGTAACTTATATAGGAGGCACTTGGCCGACTGATCACTTCCGCCGCGGGCTAGACCAGCCAATCAGAACTAGACTCTGCGGGATTAACTTCCGGTAGGCGGACTTGATAGAATTCGGTAATCCAGGAACATTCAGTGACTCTAGGCTAAACCAATCACGCGTAGAAAAATAAATTGCAAGACCATGGATCATTTACAGTGAGTGAATAATTGAGCCGGGAATAGCGAAATCACAAAGACGATGAGCGCCGCGACGATACACTTTGGCACTGCTTACTTTGTTCCATCGAATCGGCGCTGCCTGCAGCGTTTAGGCTTAACTCTCTCGGCAAAGATTGTACTCCTGCAATACCTGGCCGTTTTTGTTTTTTTTCAGGCCCTGCATGCCATCTTTTTCTACAGCATCATCGTGAGCATCCTGTACTTCAACGTCATCATGCAGTGGCTTGTGCTCAAAGTGGGTAGCTTTCTTCAGTTTACCATCGGAACGCCGGTGTGCGAGTCTATGACCACCACCGCCATGATCTTCCTCGGAACGTTAAGCGCTCTTGCCCTATCTCAAGGAGACGGATGTCTTTGACGTTGTGTTGGCCTCGCCCAGAATCATTTGAATCCAGGCAGCACTCCAGAGAAAGGAGTCGCTTGGTCCAAACTTGGCAATCTAAGCAGCCTAACAGTGTTGCGGAATGGGCACCCCCATTCCATTCCCATTCCATTCCGGGAATTTGAGTTTTCGATAATTCCATTCCTTTCAACTCCTAGGAATGGGGACACTGGGCCCATTCCCACTCCTCGAATGGCTGAATCGCTCCATTCCATTCCTCTAATTCCTAAACGTAAAAATTGGCACTTGACAGCTACATTGTGTTGCCGGCATAAGGACCATAAAGCTGACATTATCAAACGCATAGACAATTGCAAAAAAATGCAAAATGCTTCAAAAAAGCACTGATTTTACTAAGCGGAGCTCTGGTGGCACAAAGTGTTTGTTTAAATTGTACTGCAAACATCGAGAAAGTCCCTTGATATGTCGATGCTTGTTTAAAATATCGGTATTTCGACCACGTGGCTCGCAACAAACAGAAAAAACTTAAATCCCTCATTTTATTCGGGCAAACTTTTTGCATTTGTTTTCTAAGATTTACGTGGCCAGTGCGTTTGTTTGATAAGACCATAAAAATGTTCAGTTCGTGCGTGGCGCCGAAAAAAGCTAGATTACTGTATTTTTCAAATACCTGCACAGCAATACGGCTACTACGGTGCTGGAAGCGACTCCATGCACAGTGGCAAGAATACATCCCCTGAAAAAGTGCATCCTCTACGGCGCAGCACGAGAGACTGTATATATCATGTCACGAAACTGTCTTTCTGCAGGTCTAGTCAGTTCGGTCACGTGACAAGAGCGGCGACGACAGTCTACTTCACCTTACGATGGACCGCCACAGACAGCACGGGAGCCATCGAAACCAATCCAGTGCCTTCTGTTCCGAGTGTCGTGTGACCCTTGGGCGCAGCAACACGCCGTGTGTGTAGTCGCCCTCACGGTGCTGGATTGCCTGGGGTAACTCGTAACGTGCGCAGCGGTCCATCACAAGGTGAAACACAGGCAGAGACTAAAGTCAGAGGAAATGAGCGGGAATCCGAGCTTGCTTGTAACCCTAACCCACTTGAATGTAAAACATATAACACAGAAAACAAGCATCGGAACAAAGACCAAGTAAAAGGCGGACCTACGCGTAAAAATGCAGTATAAAAAGACAAGCCTCGGAGCAAAGCGCAAGAGGAGAGGAGGGAAGTGAATCTCGCTTTCTTTTAATGCCGAAGCAAACCCAGATTTTGCACTTCAAAGGAGTGCGCGCGAATGAACGTGGAAGGCAGCAGGGTTGGCCGCCTGCTAAACAACGCTCCTCGAACCATAAGAAAACAATAACTGATCATCTTTCGGCGGCGCGCGAGTCAACGAGTTATCAGAGCTCTGCGAGTTATGAGTTGTCCCCCGCTCCCAGATCTCAGTCTGTGCGCTCGTGTATTCTCCATGCCTCCGTTTCGTTTGCTTTAGTGCCACTAAATAAGCTACGCTTTAGAGTAACGACACTTGGCCATATTGTGGCTTAAAATCATGGCTGCCAGTTATCTGGAGCTCTACCTGAAACCACAGGAAACGCTTTTCCGTTCCTTCACAAATGTTTAAACCGTTCGCGACATGAGCAAATAAATATTACAAAAGCTTCCTAACACCGAATATAATGCTGAGGAAGTCGCACTTCTGAATCAAGACGATCGGCAGTTCCGTCTGCTCTGCACAAGCCCCAAAATGGCGGCGCCCACAACAATGTCGGGGAACGGAGTGGCGATACTCTAACCGCAGCTCATTTAGTGGCTCTAGTTTGCTTGGTGCTTCGTTTCTTGTTTCGCTCGCTCTCGTGTAACGCCACTAAAGCCCTTTGCCTGCGCGAAAGGCGCCACCGCCAGCCCCCCCCCCCCCCCCCCCCCTCCCTCTTCCTCTGCTCTTCGCTTTGACGCTTCTTTTTTGTATTGCATTTCTGTGTATAAGTCCGTTAGAGCTCCAAGCGTTTTGGCTGTTTCCCGCCCGCTCATTTTATTTCTGAGAAACTGGCTCGCTGATTGGCTCGAGTTCGCTAACCGTAAATACTAAAAAAAAAAAAAAAAAGAAGAAGAACCGGGTCCATTTTATTCCCATTCCATTCCGGGGTCGCAAAAATTCGGAATGATTCCGGAATCATTCCAACTCCGGAGTGGCAACTCCGCAATACTGGAGCCTAACTTGGGTCTAACAAGGTTTTGCTTCAAGACGTTGGTCAGAGCCAAAGTACCATGGAGGTGGGAAGCTTCCGGAGGCGACCTCAGGCCACCAGAGGTGAAGCCAGATGTGTGGATGTACACGCCCCCAAGATGACCAAAACAATGAAACGCTACTGGACGAACAGGTTAGCTCACTTAGCGGCCACTGGTCTTTCAGTCACCCTCTGGGCCCAGGGGCCCCGAGGGTGACCAAAATAGCTGTCGAAGTCAGTTCTGCTTTCCGTCCAATAGCGTCTCTTGGCTTTGGTAGACGTTAGGGGCTTGTAATTCCACACTACGGGCTTCACCCCTGGCTACCTCATGTCACCTCGAGGAGCTTCCTACCTCCATGATGCTAAGCTGCTCTTCTTCGGCTTTGGCTGTTCTTTGGATCGCACATAATGCTCAAAGTGCCAGGCATTTGCCGAAACTGCCACCTATCAAGGAAACGAGCAGCGAAGCCGAATAAATTCGGAATTGTTTGGCAATTTAGGCCCAAAAGTCGCCAAGTGAAAACCGATGCGCCAAGTTGTAGCCGTAATTCGGGCCTTTCCTCGAGATGTGAGTGCAACAGAAATAAAATGGCCATCGAATAACCAAGCAGTAAAGCCTAACTCCGGCACATTTTTGGCAATCTATGAACAAAATACCCAGACGGTGGCCACGAAATTCCTAAGTTTGGTTATGTATTGGCTTCTTAGGACAGAAGGCCCTGAAGTTACAGTAAAAAACCACACTATGGCCAAAAAACCCGTACTACCTGGAAATGTATTCCAGTACTATCACGACGACAAGAGCGCACGGTTTCGATAGACAAAGCCTCAGTCGCAGTTGTTGTGATAATTTTATAGCGTTAAAATCTCCTGATAGTTATAAAATATGTAGATTAAAGTAAAACAATTTCTTTATAGTAGAAATTTAACTAATGTATGAATAATTAGGTACCACTGCTCCAGCTAGCGGTTGTAGGGAATCCAGATAGCTGAGCTGCGACGGTGCTTCAGTGACCACTCTTTACGTAGCACTATATTACTCTACGATAAGACTTTCGTTATGCCTCTCTTGCTTCTATTCGTGTTAAATGTTTTTATTCTCTCATTTTCGCTCTAAAAAGTGGAAAATAAGTCGATTATATTTTGTTGGAAACGGTTATGCTGAATAAAATTTTGAATATAATTAATTTACATCAATTTTGAAAAAAAAAAGGTAATTTGTCATCAGTTTCGGTTTCGTTTTAGTTCCAACTGGGTCATTTCAGGCGCATCTCAACTCTGGATGTTAGGACTCTGTACCCGCGTAACACCTGGAACAACTTAGTTGAGCTCAATTACATTTGGGAGATGCAAACTATCGTTGTCGCGATTCGAGAGCCCCGTCGGTCGTTGTTTTTCCCTTAAAAATTAAAAAAAAAGCTTATAACACTGGAAAGAGATAACGGTCAGTTCTGAAACGTTGCCAACTGGTTAGGACTAACAGAACAATATTTGCACGCATAATGTGAGTTCGGCGGTGCGTAGTTTACATTTACGATGGAAAAAAAACAACATGCCTTTTGTTTTTTGTAGGAACACTTTGTTTATAACGGTACTTTTTGCACCCTGTATGATCGTGAAGAATTTATTCTGAGCAGGGCTTGAATGCAACCAACCCCCATAAAACATATTTTTTATGCTCGTTTTAAGATTTTGCCTGCGTGAACTAGGAAAATATCCAGAAGATAATCTGGATTCCCGGCCGGTTCTTCACTCCACATCTTGAGAATAATCTCCGTCATGTCGGTCTTAAAGAGCGTCTTCAATTCCTTCGACAACAACGGTGCAATGGGATCCGTAGAGAGTTCGACTTCTGAAAGAAAGGATTTGGACGAGGAGGGGGGGACATTTTCACTTATTAAGCCAAGAAGATTAAAGATTAACACCTCAAACAAAATACAATATATTCCGGTCTATACGTCGCAGTTTTGTATAGGCCGCAATCAGCTATTTTCCGAAGAAATGTTGGCATATAAGCCGCACATTTCTATAAGTCTCACCTATATATCTGTTCGATCGGCGCGACAAAACTGCGATTAAATGCCAACATATATGCAGAATGATCAAAAATACACGTAAGCGGGATCAAATTTCAATTTTCTCGAGAAAGAATCGAATTACAAAATTTCTTGACAATTGTTCCCTGGTATAAGTCGTCGTTGTATAAGACGCAACAAAAAACATTCTTGAGGAAAAAGAACACAGCTTGTCCACCATCAAATGCGATGGAAATATTATTACACTATTTCTTCTCTAAAATACGCCTTCTCTGCTGCATGTCTGGGTCCACGGAAAGAACTAGACAATGAACGACGCCGGAAATGTGTTTAGACCTGCAAGTGAAGTCTGGGTTCTGTCATTTTCTGTGGAGTGAGCCTGTGAACACTCAAGCTCAGTGTCGCAATGCAAACTTTATTCATGCATAATTGCGTTCTTACTGAAGCTAACCCTAACTTAGCATAAAAAAGACGAACGTACCACCGAGGAAGAAAGTTGGCCGGCGGCCAAACACCTGCGCTGCGAGTTCCGCTTGCCACACAACGAAACTTCGAGATAAAAAGCAAATAAAACAACACAATAAAAAAATAAAAAAAAAACTGAAGAACAGGAGAGACACGGTCGCGGTCATAGAGACGCATTGCGATGATTACGCTAACTGGTGAAAACTTTGAAAAGAAGTAAATCAATAGAAAGAATAGACTCATGGTGAGGACTTGGTCCGCTGACACTGCGTGGCGTGCCTGGACGGCTGAGATTGGAGTCATCCTCTGCTGTGTTCCTATATAGGCATTTCTGCTTCTTGCGGTTCGTTCGATAGCTCAAAGTACCGCTGCCAATGCTTTTAAAAGGTAAACTTTAAGGATTCATAATCACTTACAGCGCGACTGGGACAAGGACAGACAGAGAAGAAACACAGAAACACACGACAAGCGCTATGTTTCTCCTCTCTCTGTCCTTGTCCCAGTCGCTCTGTAAGTAATTATGAACTCTTACCAACTCGCCCAATTCTCCATTTTGCTAAGCTTTAGGAGCTCGGGTCGCAGAAAAGTCGGTGTCGGCGGGATGGAAAAATCCTGATTGGTCGATCAGTAATTCATTCGATTTTAAGAAAAAATGTAAAATAATTTTAACCTGAACGGGATCGAAGCCTCGACCCTTCGGTTGCGAGCATGATATGCTACCTTTTTGGACATACAGATACTTTTTTTATTGCGAATAATGAACTCATACAGTCCAATCACTTTAAGAACAATAAACAACACTTTTTTGTTGAGCACATCGAAAACCTCTCATAACAAAAAGAGGTTCAAAAAGTCCTAGCCAGCCGGCTCACAATTTGAAACAACACTTTCCACTCGCCTCATGAGGCTGAAAAAGTAATCTCTCACCTCTCCAGCATTGCTACAAAATTCAAGAAACATAATCAAATCAAAGGGAACGCCTTCGTCTTTTGTTATGTTGAACAAGTGAATGCCGGTTGGGCTAACACACAACTGTTTTTTAGAGTACTCTAAAGGACGTCCGCCCAAAAAAAAATAAAGAAAATACTGCATTTCAGAAAAGTATACAAACCTGGTTTATAGTTTCCGCTTTCCGGTATCTTACATAAAAGACAGTCAATCGACCATGGCATATAATTGTTTTTTCCGCTGAGTCAGACTTTGACGAGCAAAGTGTTGGTGTGGAACTTAAGAAATGGGTTTAAGGAAAGGAGGAAAACAGATTCCGTTGACTCGCTTATTAATTAAGCATAGTCTCGCCACTGCGACATATGACAGATTCATAAAGTAGTGTTGGGAAGAAACTAATCACGAAATCCCGTGTAAGCGTCTTCTTGCTCACAACACAGAGGAGTCTAAAGAAATACGGGCAGAAAAAGATTGCATTTCGTGGACGACCTCTTTCGGACATACACGAGCCTTTTTGCTCACCACCTTGTGGCGAAACAAGGAATGACGACAAGTGAGGAGCCCAAGTTTTTTGGATGAACGCGCGAATGAATAAAAGGTCTTGCTCTCGCAAAAACAACAAAAAAAAAAAGAGAAAAGAACAGGAAACTAGTTTCGTAATGAACAAGTGAGAGGGTCCGAGACCCCCATTTCACACTCCGTGGAAGAGGTTGTCTCGCGTCATTCGCTCCCAATTTAATGCTCAATTGAGCTCAGGAAAGAAGCCATGAAATTTATGCAGATTGATGCACGCACAATGTGACTTGCAGAAGATACCATTGATATCAAATTAGAAAAAAAAAAAAAACATGGGAAACATTTGCTCTGGCAAATATTGACAGATCACGCCGCTTTTTGCGGGAAGCGAAGGACACGCAACCACTTATCTTCTTTTGGTTAGTGCTAGGCCACGCAGACACACTTGCACGGCTTGAGACCGAGCGGGGGTTAATATTTAGTTATCGCGCACCAGTTTTAAAGCCGAAGCTTAAGTGTACTTCTGTATTGTTTAGGTCTAAACATATACATATATATATATATATAATATTAATTCGCCAATCCATACGCGACAATCATTGACTGTGCCTTTGCTCTACTGACAGGCAGATGCACCGGTGCTTTTCAAAGTTATCGGCTGCGCTCCACAAGCGGAGGTCGCGTTTTACGTACGTCTAGAAGCGTAATGGCGCATTCCCACAGGCGATGTAAGCAGTCGCGCGATGCGACTAGATCGCATCGCAAAAAAAGCTATATGGTCACACCGGCGTGCGCAATGAGCGAATCCAACGCCTTCGTTGGCGAGTCGTTTCTCAAAAACTCTCGCTTCGAACGCCGTTGATTGGCTCAGCCGCTCCGCGACTAGATCGCGTCGCGAAAAAGTCGGGTCGAGTAGCGACTGCTCAAATCGCGGCGCTTTTTGCCCGCGATGATCGCTTTTGCGATGAAAGTTATCGCGTGACTAGATCGCTTCGCCGGTGGGAACGCGCCTTAAGGCTCGACTTTGCAAAAGAAAATCTACCATAGCGATGAGGGTTCCTTAGATGTGCCTAGTCCTCAGAAATTCTCAAGCTGAGTTTCCGCGGCAGCTCGTCTGAAAAACTTGTTTGTGCTTCAGCTGAGAATACAGTGTTATAATGAGATGAGCAGGTCTTGAACGCGAGGTACTTGACTGTAATGAAAAGTAGCATGGTGTTGTCAGTCAAAGCTTAATGAGTTGGTTTCCTTTTCATAATTTTTCCTCTCTCAATTTCAGAACATTGCCTGCTTTGAGAAGAGAGGCAAATCTAAGTCTTAACTAACATGCTCATAGCTTCACCTTCGCGCAAACTGACGTTAAAGATGTTAGTAGGAAATCTAGAGACCTCTATCAGTTCTACACGTTGCAACTATCAAACATCAAAATAAAAAAAAATAAGAAAACTCAAACGATGGACTGTTTAGCGGAGTATTTTCTTCGGAACTGGAGCAACAAGAAAGTAGTTGGTCATAAAAATGTTATTTGGGATGAGTATGATGAAGGGGAGGGAAAACATGACAGTTGTTCGTATGATACTTTTTTTTTTTTTTTTACAGGAGGATATTCAGTTCCCCCCAGAAAATAGAACAGGCACCCAAAAAATGTCTAGTTCTCTTCTAATTCTCAATCTTTATAAATTGAATTGAAGTTTCAATCCCCAGCAGCCTAACAAGACCATAAACTGAAACTCAAAAGAGTTTCTTGGATCAAGCGACTGGAACATTAAATAGAGCGCCATCGCCATTTCTACACGCTAGTAAGGTGCCTCAGTGCCAAACATCCAGTAGCCAGATGCACAAGTTGTACGCTTTGGTTGCCGCTTGCTTGTGGAGTCTTCACTATTTTAAGACGGAAATAATGCCTGGAGAAAGGTAGCAAGATGGACAAAGGACAAACACAAGTCTCTAAACACAGCTAGGTGTCTGGTGCGTGACCGACAAATTCCCTTTGGCCCTGGTATCGAACCAGATACCTCTACATTTCCAGGGAAGCGCACTAGTAACCGAGCTACCCAGGAGTTAGACGTCAATAGAGGAAACGGGTTTCATAAGTTGACACCAGTCGAACACCAACTAGGGTGGAAATAGGGAGGTCCCTGTTTTGATACCAGGACCTGTCGGAGTTTTTCGGTGGCGCACAAGTAACCTAGCTGCGTTTGAATATTTGTGTTGTCATTTGTCCCTTTGTCCCACTATCGTATAGACTTAAAAATGCAAGCTGTTTACCCTTGTTGGTGCGACAGTGGTAAAAACTGATAAAACCAGTTTGCTCTATTGACGGCTAACTCCCGGTTAACTCAGTTGGTAGGGACTTCTCCATTGGAAAAGGAGAAGTCCCTGGTTCAATACCTGGACCAGGCAGATTTTTTTCGGTCGCGCACCAGTCACTTTGTTGTGTATCCATGGAGATTTGTATTGGTCCTTTGTCTCCCTAGTTCCCCTTCTCCAGGGAAAATTTCGTCATAACTGTCCAGCTCATTTGCACCTTTGCATTTATTGCATTTTCATAACTATCTTGTTAGAACGTATAGAGAACGAATGTTCATAAAATTGTACGCGGGGTCTGATAAAAGATAATAACATGCGCCACTTCACAAAAAAAATGCAAAAGGAGTATACATCTGACTCCCTGTTTGAGTGCCCTGTACACCAGACATGCTCAGAACAAGCTCACACTTTACGGGAACCACGTGTTCCCTCTCTCCCTATCTAGGCCTAGCACATGCAGGCCGAGGAAACAGCTGTGGTGGCAGCTTCCCGTATACGAGGCAAAAGCCCGATTTCTCAAGGGGGGGGGGGGGGGGTTGTCTCCCTCGCCCTTTTGGGCGAATGTGCTTGTGGCGCACCCTTGGGAATGATTCTGGACGCGACCGATTTGCGGGCTAAGTCACACCACCTCACACGGGCGCGTCCATTTCCCCTAGGCTAGATAAGCCGGCCACGAAGGGTGGTGGAAACTCTCTCGTAGGGGCGGCTCTGGTCTCGAGCCTCTTTCTTTTTGTGCTTGCCCCTCGTCTCAGAAATCTGCCTAGTAGGGCAGCGTAGGCCCCCGCCAGAGAATCTGTCTGATACGGCAGCGCCGACATTTTTCCGTTTTTTTTTTTTTTCGTTTATCAGTTTAGCCGACGGGCCTAGCGTGGTGGCGAAGACGCAAATAGACCCGCTTCTTTCACATTCTTGCGTTTTGGAGTGATTCCTCTCCTCCGAGCTCTCAACAGTCTTGGGCCGGACCCGGCCGTAGCAGTCCTCAACATCAAGTTACGGAGTGGGATCTTCCTCGTGGTGCAGTAAGGTAAGTGGAATCCCACAACTTATAGGTTCCTAATACCGGCAACCTTGATACTGCGGGATGCACGTTGCAAAAGCTCTTTGGAAGCTCGCCGTCAGCGCAGTCTGAGCACCTAGTCGCTCATCTTTGTCAGTTATAAAAAAAAAACCTATCATGGCCTCCGATATAGTTCGCGCTTCTTCTGCGAGGCACTTGGTGCCGCTCAAAAGGAAACAAAACAACGCAAACAAATAGCCGCGAATTATCATCATCGCCATTATCCTCCGTCTGCGGAACTTAGGAGCAGCGCGGAATGTGCCTCCCCCCCCCCCCCCCCCCCCGCTTCTCGCCGCAACACAGAGATATTTGGGAAGGAAGAACTTGATCGAAATTTGAAGGTTCACTTTTCGAAGACTGTGAGGGAAAGGAGTGTCTGGTTTAATGCTGTAAACTGCTTCTCAAGTTAAGTTTTCAAACAATTTCTTCCCGTAAGGATTGTATTTTAGTTTTCACGAATATCACCCAGGCGCAATACCACAGAGACCCTGTCACTCTCGCTTTTTGTTATTGCTAGGGTTTGATGGAACTCAATCACAATGCAAGACACGCACAGAGCCGCGCTCGCTTTTGCCATGCGGCGCCTAACCATGACATGTGTTGAGGCGACGTGGCACACAAGTCTCGCGCAGCACTTGCTCGATGGCAGGAGGTTCTGCAATGTCGAACAAATGTCACTGCGCGTACCGATATTGGCGTCACTACTTACGCCCGAATACAACACTCCGGAGAAATCTGCGTTCGCAAAGCCTAATCCAGCCGCGGCAAAACTTTCAGCCAACCTTTGGCCTGTAGAACTCAAAAGACACCCAATATAAGATCAAATGTTGCAAGCCGAATAAAACGATTTTGTTTTCGATTTAATTAAGTTGCAGACCACCGGCCGCGTACATCCAGTACGTCATCAGCCGAACTGTAAGGCAGTAAGCTTAGTTCTGGCACTTGTATGGCTACTTTGCCCGTAGCTGCCAGATGACAGCCGAACTACCAGGAAGCGAAGCATAACTTTGGCACTTGTTTAGCGACTTGGGCCGAGAGATGCCAAATGTCAGCCGAACTACAAGGCAGTAGGTCTAACTCTGGCACATCCGTGTCGATTTTGGCCCAGGTGCCAGATGACAGCCGAACTATCAAAAAGTGACACTTAACTTTGGCATTTGTTTGGTGATTTTGGCCCGAAAATGCCAAATATCGGCGGAACTACCCGGCAGTAAGCATAGCTGGCATTCGTTAGGCGACTTAGGCCCAAAGAGGCCAGATTAAAGCCAAACTATCAGGCAGTAAAGCTTACGTTTGGCACTTTTTTGGCGAATGAGGGCCAGAAGGCCCAGGCTATTGCCAAGCAAGGTCAGGTTTAGCCCTGCTTTGGCTTCTTCGGACATTTCAAGGATCTAAACTGACAGATAAAACCCAAATTTTGGCCCAGAACTCTGTGCTACCTGGGTATATATAAGCAGTTTGACTGAGACGTGCAAGAGTGGATTGTGAAGAAAGACTTACGGATGAATTCGTCCACACCCCCTTCGATTATGTCATGGCTTATGACTTCGCACGTGCGTGGCTTTAGGTTGGCACGTTCAAGAATGCCAAGCATGTACGGAGTAAGGGCCGACCTGTCTCCGATATCCTGGCTTGGGGGAATAAAGCGCTCAATAACCTGGAAAAAAATATGATTGCGTCATCCTTCCGGGTGATTAACCTTTCTGCAGAAAAAAAGAGTTTCTGATTGTGATATAATTGTTTGTAATAATTATTATAAACGAATCATCTGTAATAGCCGCAGAAAAAATGGCTCAGCAAACAAACATTTATTTTAATCACAATAAAAACATTTTATAAGGTACTGCTTTTAAGAAGAGTAATGGCTTTCTTAGGTCCTAGTTTGTTTTCTAATCAAATTAACAAAATTAAGTATTAAAGTGTGGCGAGTTGCATTGGCAATAGCTAGCTATTGCATTTCCAATATCTAGCTCTAAATTTATTTGGTTACTTTTGTTGTGATGACAAGTAGTATTTTCGTAAGGGCTGCTTTCCTTCCAAAGAATTTCAATAAATGCGGCACCGGGTATTTTGAAAACTTAAGGAACTGATTTTGAAGGGGCCTGGCTACCATAATATATTCGAAGTTTTTTTTATTATTATTATACATAACTCATGTGGCAGGATCGCAACACAAATATATCCGCATGTGGTAGCACGGACTCTTTTTTACGGTGCGCTTTTAAGAATAAAAGTAAGCTATGTATTTCAGCATCTCCCTCGAAATACTTGATGACGAAGTAGCTGAAATCAAAGTGTTGACCCAGTCCCGGAGATCACCCCTGACGATAGTTAAATGAAGTCCATGAATTTGACACGAGCACGGCGTGATCACTCGACATTGGGCTCGAGAGAATCAGATGCTTCGGCGAGCGCTCAGGTAGAGGCTCGTATGCCGTTGCTGCTATAAAAAAAATAGCCAAACTCTACGACTATCTGGAGCTCAGCACAGCTACTCTACTGTGCGAACCCCACTGCGTGGCCATGACGAGCATTTCTGACACAATATAATTGGCATCAAATTACGTGGCCACTAGTTCCAGCTGTTCTGGATGCTAGTTGTAGGAGTATACACTGACCGTTTTAATGCTCGAAACCGGATCTCACGGGCTGTTTCATAATTCCACCACTGCCGCCATGCATTGAGGCATAGCCTCCTCTATACTCACAAAGCCTGGCAGTTCGACGACAGAAGCATAGAGTGCCCGGTCGCAGATTCGGAGCGGAAGTATATGGTAGCACAGAGCATTTCTCGGAGAACCTGTTTGTCAGCGCACAGCTTTTGCAGCGCGAGGACCAAACACGGTTCTCAAACCTGCCGAGAAAAGAAGCGGAGAAGTGTGTTTCGGCGTCTCGCCACAGCGGAGCGCGCGTCACGTGGCTCTTCTCATCCGTTGTCTGCCGCTCTACCTTCTCTCGTGGCGATCTGCCAGGCTTTGTGAATATACAGGAGGCTTTGATCGGGGGAATTTTAGTCTTTATGCAGGAGCGACAACCCTGCTGAAGATCTGTGCGAGGAGAGCCAGAAGCTGCACGAGCTGTCTCGTTATCTGGCTTGTACTGCCTATGATATACAGTTACATATGCTACAGTTATTAAGGCGTCACGCATGCGTTGGAACACTTCGTGCGATCGGTCTATTGTATTAACAAAAAATACGTTTTACATGCCGATTTTTATCGGCTCTTTATAGCTTGGCTCTAGCTTCCGGCTGAAACTGCCTGTTGTAAGGCCAGCTGTAACAGCCGGCTGTAAAAAAGAAACTAACACCGAAAAGCGTTTCGCCCATAAAAAAAAAAAAACAACATATAAATAGACTTCAGTACCGGGAAAGAATTGAACTAACCACCTGCAGATTCTGAGCCACGTGCTTTAAGGACTAAGCTATCCAGGGGCTCTAATCTCTGCACTTGGTGAAAAAGTCGCTGAGAAATTCGACCGCCGTGATCGGCCAGCGTCAAGGCCAAGCGGGGTGCCAGTCAATCACGGCAGCGGAATTCCTCCCCGACGTTTTCTCGAAGTGTCCAATTTAGAGCCTCAGGAGTGGTGGCTATCACCCATTTTGTGCTTACCAGTCTTCGTCAGCATGATCAGGGTTGTATATTTTTTTTTAGCCAAAGTCAACAAAACTTTTCCCAGGTGTTCATTGCAAGCCGTAGCCAAGCAGATAGAAGTAAGCAGACCTGGCCCAGTTAGGAAGTTGCCAAACTCCTGCGTCGCGAACTGCGAAGGGTTATCACTGCATGAGTGATATGCGAACATTGATGCAGAGCTCGTGTAGAGCCTATCTTCCACGCTCTCTTCCAGTAGTTATTGTTTAAAATCCAGCACTACGGAGGTGTCCAGGGAGCACCTGCCGTCTGCAATAGCGGTCTCTTCTGGCCTATGTTTCAATCTTCGCTCAGCCGACACGGCGGTGAAACCCGTTGAAGCTTCGCCGTTCGCGGCATCAATCAATCCTCTGCATTTTCTAACCTGGCCCCAATCTTTGCGCGATATTTACGCAGATAGTGGATCACAATTTCCAAGACCGATTGGCTGCGTAAGTTATCATTTGGCCCTAGCGATATTCCGTGGTAGTTGCGTGGGAATTTATGTACTTTTTTGTATTTTATTACCTCCGATCTCTTCCATCAGGAGATCACTCCAAAACTAAAATGGGAAGTCCTCACAAAATTATTCAACTACTTGTTATTTAACTAAAATATTGTTCTCGGATACACTTTGAGCCCTTTTTATTTCCCCTTTACTACGTCAACGGTTTGTGTAATCAAGGTGCTTTAATTTTATTGCACAACTAGCAGAAGGTGTTTTTGTTTCCTTTTTTTTTTTTGCAATCAAAAACGTATTTGGATTAGAGGCTTTAGAATTCGCGCATATGTTTACATCGACATTGTGCAATTAATATACCGGTTTTCAGAAGTCCGCAACAACGCCTGTAAGCGATTGCTTTCTCACTGTATGTATTGTGTATTTTATGTATTGTGTATGCGTTGTGAGCATGTATTGAACACGAGGAATGCGGGAGATTTTGTGCGAGTACTAAAATGCAATCACGCACTTCGTGCCCGAGCAAATGCGGCTGCCAATGTTGCTTGATGGACTTTTGAAAAGGCTCTTTACGTAACACAAAATGTCGCAATACAGATAAAATGGATGAGGGAGAAAACTCACTCCTTTGTACTGTTTCCATCGATCCAGCTCCACAATTTTCCTCCACACCACGAAGAAACTGGTGCGAGCCGCGAAAACCAGCAAGCACTCCCCATCGTCGGTCATCAATGCTGCCACATTTCTTAGAGCAGCTCCGAGGTCCTCCGCCCAGTTCAGGGCGAAGAAGGAGTAGACGCGCTCAAACTTGCCGTACTTCTCGACAAGCCCCGAGACGTCACCCTCGATGTCGTGTACCTCGTGCGCAATCTGCGAGTGCGCGAAGTTCTCCTTGGCGTACTTCAGCATTCCCGGGGACACGTCAGTGGCTACCATTATGCCGCAAGGTTGGCAGCGTGGCAACAGCTCCTGACGCGTGAAGTCGCCTGTCCCGCAGCCCAGGTCGATGAACTGCTGGTTTCGGTTTGGTAAACTGGTGAAGGCCATTTGCATTGAGTCGAGACTTTTGATGTTGAGGTCCCTCTGGAATTTATTGGCTTTGATGTAGGCCTCCGGAACAATTGCCATTTCAAGAGGCTGCTTGCCGACAGCGTCCCCATAGGAAGAAGGAGTTGCCATTTTTGCCGCTGAAGTATCCCGAGCTGCACAGAATGGAAGAGGTTTTAGTTTTTTCTGCGGTAAAATTTCTAAAACTGATCGCTGCGAATCGGAGGTATTGAAAAGTCCAATAGCCGATTAAAACTGCTGTAATAATGTATTTATTTAACAATATCGAAATAATCACATTTATTCAAATCACTATTATATGTACAAAATGCGAGTCACCTTCGGGTGAGAGTTGCTTTGACGTGTTGTACATTTTAAAGAGGAAACCAAAAACGATAAGTGCACGAATTATACACGCATGTAAATAATTCATGCTTGAAACAAAAAAAGATAACGGACTAATATATTTTTGTAACGCAAAATATATCTCCCCAAGAATCACACATTACAAGGTGCATTTAAATAATGCAGCAAGCGTGGCCGAAAAGGTAATCCATACTTCAAAATGTTTAGCGTTTCTTCGAGATACCGAGAGTGATAGGTAAGGGCGCCAGGATGAACTTTGCCGAGTCAGTCCCTGGAGTATTCGATGCTCAAACAGTCTTGGCGGAATGTTCGAGACACCCAGTCTAGAGATAAGTGTACATTAACGAGGGGTCGTGTTAATAAACGTTGGGAATTACACTTCACTGAATAAATTGTTCACTTAAAGGGACCATGAAACGATTTTGAAATCGAATTTCATTCACCGCACGCCGCGAAAGGTGTGAAAATTTGTAAGCCAAAACAAAAAATAGAAAGCAAAAGAAAAATATTTTCGCTATAGAACTTTAAAAAAAAAAACGGACTCTTTTATACCCTTTTTCCTTCGAAAGTTTTCTGCCTTTTCAGTGCGATGCATCCGCGGTGGCAATGCACGTCAGTCTCATCCATGTCGCCTACTGGATAAGAGGCTACCTCAGCAGCACCGTAATCATAAGCAATAAATAACCGGCGAATGTTTCTTCAAAGTTTAGTTAAAAAATATTTTGATCCAGATTTTTTTCAGCAATTATCGACTTCACGGAAATTGCCGAATTTTATCATGCTCGGAGCTATGCGCCATCTATCGTGTGGTAACGAAGCAGGAGAAAGATAAGACTGCGCCTTCGCTGTATCGCTGTTCCTGCTCTCTGTTGAAAAACATGGCGTCGGTGGTGATCGTGGACGTGGTCGGCGTGGTGGAAGCTCATCGTTCCGCACTCAGAGCTATCTTTGACTGAATTTTCGTCGTGTGTTGCGATGATAACTCGGCACGTCCCAGAAGAAAAGATCCATCAACTCGTGCGGCGATGTTGTGGCGGCCAGCAAGGTTACTAGAACCACTCAGTTGGGAAACTGCCGCAGAGCCTGCTCTGAAAAAGTGGCACCGATCCGCACTCTAGAACCGAGCTAATGGCGATCGTAATGCCGCCCTATTTCCCGCAGCGGCAACTCGAGGAACTGAATGACTTCTAGCATTGTTTCGGGAGTTTCGCATTCGATAGCGTCCCCTGTGACTGTTCTATTAGGCTTTAATCGGCCATTTTGGAGCCGAAGCATATACGGTAGAAGAGTTTTCAGGGATGCCAAGCCCCGACTGCCAAGCGGACGCGTAGCGAACCACGACAGGAATTAGGAGGCGCCCAGGTCGGGACCCGCTACCTGCAGTCACTGGTGAGACATGGTTGTATAAAAATAATATTAATTGTGCCATAAAACCTCGTAAACTTAAGATTTTAGAAAGCATCACGCGCCTGGTGTTTGGTGCTAATCTCCAATAAAAGTTCCTACAAAGAGTTTTTTTTTTGTTTGTTTTTACGCAACAGAAATGAAAAACGTTTACAACATCCTGTAACGTCGAATGACAGCGCAGCTCTTGAGGAGGAGGAAGGGAGGCTACTGAGGGGAAGGTATGGCCCTCCTACTCATCCCTACCCTCTCCTCCTCTTCCTCCCTTCTTCTCCCTCCTCCTATCCCCTCTCTCGTCCTCCTCCCCTCCTACCTTCTACTTTTACCCTCCTCCTCCTCATCTCCTCCTCCCTCACTCTTCCTCCTCTACTCTTCCTACTCCCCCTCCTTCATTTTTTTTCATCCACTATGCCTTGCGAGCCAATCCTGACAAAAGTAAAAGTTAAAAAACGTGAGCCCATAGAACACTCTGTGCATTTTCTGCTACGCCAGTGTGCCGCAACCCGTCCCTTTGTTTTAGAAGATACCGCGGACAAGGCTGACGGCGGCGGAGAAGCGGCCGTCGTGCTGACCACCTGCCGCCCTTGTTGCAGTGGTGGCAGGAGTGTGTACGTGCAGCGCACAGCTGTTCCGATTGCTTAGGTCACAACGGACGCAGTCGTAGCTGACGCATATGTTGCAAGTGACCGAATAGACTACTTCCATAAGCCCCTGCGTGCAACACTGCGCGCGTTGCACTCTGGGAACTAGTTGGCCAGGGAAGAGAGTGGCATGGTTTCGGTTTCGATCGATACGTCGAAAGAGATTATACACAGAGCGTATCTCACGTTTTCTGGTCCGGAGAGTCTCATTTTTGGTCTTTATACTGACCTAAATGGCCAGACCTCGAAGCTTTAGCACAAGCCCGCCACGTATAGCTTGTCTTAACACATGTTTGCCGTATTTTTGTACTCGAGCTTTTCTGATGGCGCTTCGAGGTATGCGAACGAGTCAGTGCTGGAAATCTTGACGCTGCGATGCTCGTGGATCTTGCTTGTGTACGAGTCAACAAGCTGTAAAAACCAATTGGTGTCCATACATCGAGCTCACACCTTTACATTAGTGTTGCTGGTCAGAAACTTTGTTTGGTTTGTGCGTCCATTGACTAAATATAACTGTTTCCAACTAGTATTTTTTTTTAATACGCCTCAGTATGCAAGGTAAAGCTCGGAGGCGCCATTGAAAAGCTCAAACCGAACACACTTTTTATCTCTTTTCTGTACTGACCCGGAGCACTGCTACGAAGCGAAGTCCCTACCCGATTTTATTCCACTAATATTCAACAACGCGTATGTGCATAAAGTTATCCTGCAATCATATAGGCAAATTCCCACATACAAAGCGTTTAACAAAAAAAGTCGAGCAATTGTGTGAAGAATGTCGCACTGTTCGCCGGAAGTGCGCCCTACGGGCGTGAACCCTTATGCGGTGCGCCAAACGATCGAAATTTCAAAGCGCATTTGACGGTGGCTAATGCGCATTATATGTGTTGCATTTGCTTTCTTCCTGACTGAGTATGCCGAAATAATTTCAGACACACCGTTCAGACACAGATCTTGGGCGTCAGTAAAAGCTCGTTCAAAAAGTCTTAGCGAGGAGTAGGGAACGCTTGTTAGGGCCTCCGTCGTAGCTAGTCGATCTCAGCGTTTGCGAAAACTTAATCTCCTATCAGCATAAAAATTGAGTGGGAGTTATATGATGACACGAGGAAGACATCATTGTAACTTTTGTGCAGTAGTGAGGTCGAATATTTCTTGCGTTTCGTTAAAAGTTGATGCGTCAACGCTGGGCGCAACTTTGATACTCCTGTGAGGATGCGGCTCGCTTTTCGCCCAATGAAGTAACAAGAAGCGGACGTTTGGCAAACAAAATACGTGTAAGGCTCAAGGTGACCAAATTGCTGTTATAGTTCACTGGTACTAGATGGAATTATTGAACTTGAGCTCATAGATGCACTCGTGGAGTGAGGTGACTATGCCACGTCTTACTAGATTGGCATACTCAAGGAAAGATCCCCGGTCTTCGTTTTGTATAGCTCGAGAATGAGTGTATCGTACATTCGTGAAAAGTCGGATAATCGAAAAAGCAAGGAGCGCATTCGGTCACGGCGTGGTGGCATGAAATGAAGCTGCTCAATCGAAACCGAAACTGAATGGCCAACTAGTTCCCTGGGTGCGCTCATGGCATTTCGCCGCGATGGGGCGCTTCGATTTTGGAAGAAGTCTATTACAGTTTGTGCAGTCCGGAGCTTAAAAAGAAACGGCTGCAGTTTCACCGCTTGCCACTCGAGGAACCACGTCGAAGCACTTGGTGCAGGCTCATCGGTTTGAGGGACCCCAGGTCATCCGTGTATGCAGGGAACATTCCGTACGTTGGAGTCCCCACTACTTGTCGCCTGATTCCGACAAGGGACTGGAGTCTTCGGCGAAAGAGTGGCCGCATTTTGCAACAGGCGTACCGGTGTATGGGACCAGTCCTGTGCTGTAGCTGTAGCGTAACATGGCTAATTGAATTTTGCTCAGCTGCGATCTGCACATGCCTATCACGGTGATGAGAGGTGCAGATTTAGAAATTATGTCGGTGGCATCGTCGCCATCATCGCAGTAAAACCATGTGGTAAAGCATGCTGGCACGCTGCCAGCTCACCATTAACACTCCCATTTTCCTACTCCCAAGGCAACTTCCGGTTGCGGTGGCAAAAGATAGTAAGGCAGTCAAAATTAGCCGCGGTTTGTTTTCCGGTGAGTTGGAGAGGAAGAAAGAGTTGATACTTTAACATTTTTCGTCTAGAGGTCAATAAACCGAAACGAAAACCAATGCCTGTGCGGCGTTCAGTAAACATTAAAGGTTTGATGTAAAAGGTGTTTAGCAAAAGTAAAAAAAAGTATTCTCATGGTCCCTTTAACGCGTGAACTGATGGAGCCATATTCCAAGTGCCGGCCAACCTCACAACGCCGAAAGAAATGCTTTCTCATCAAAAATACATTCTGTAAATTATGTTTTTTTTTTTTTTGTCAGCTCAAATAGCCTTTATAAGGCTGAACCTAGACTAGGTCATGCTTCATTTATTTTGGTTCAAATTGACTACACTTTGGTTTATGTTGACAGCTATTGAAAGGATATACATATCGTTGTTTTAAGCTTCGTCGAGGTGCAGATAATGGGTCAAATTAAATTCATTCCACACCCATCGGTAGTCCTCGGGTTTACGTTTGAAGAAAACAATGACTAACCTGCGTCGGTGCTTTTCTACCCAAGGTCAAGTGGCATTAGCGTAGAAACTACTCATACGTCACCGCCGTCACCGGTGCCTTGACAACCGT